GGCAGAAGGGTCAGATTGCCTGCTAAAGCTATAAGGGCACATTTTTCATTATTTACTCATAATAACAAGATTCACTGAGGAATTAATGAAAGTAGTAGTTGCTCTTCTCACCTCTACTTCTGGTTATTCAAAAGAAATGCCCAAGAAATTCTAGATTTTTTCAGTGAGTAGCATAGTATTAAATCAATATTGTTCCTGTTGATGATAACAGTATTTATGGCTGCTTCAGAAGATTATTGAGAGAGGGCACACACAAAGAAGTCCAATTTTCTGGGTAACAAAATGAACTATATACAGCTGTTATGTGTCTGAAGCATTTTGAGAAGTGTAGCATGGGGTGAGCTGGACCTAGATAGAAGAAATGGGGAAAAGATTAAGTGCTCTAATGTATCTGGCTGATGTTCTTAAGCTTCCAATTGCTGATAAAACTGCTTTTTGCTGTAAATCTTTCTGACCACAAAAGTTGCCTCTATGAAGAGTCTTTTATCTGGGTCTAATTTCAAAGTATGCATGTCAAGATAATTTAGAGTGCATACTTACACCTGTTTCCTTTTCCATTGAAAACAATACTTCCAGAAGCCCACCCAAGTTGTGTTATATGTAACTCTATGTTCTATAGTTACCTTTCTCATTCAAGATAAATATCTAAAGCTAAACAAGTACTGCTGAAAGTGTGTGTGTGTTTGTGTGCATATGAGAAAGAATGTAAAAAATTTCAGATAAAATGAATTTTCTCCCTCTCTTTGGAAGGCTTTGGTGAGCAAAAATCAAACACAATTTCGGTTCCCCTTCTCTTTACTTCAGACACAGCAAACATTTAGAGGTAGAAATAATTTCCCACGCACTACATCTTGCAGAATCTGGCTTTGGTACAGCACAATCAAACAGTCATAAATTAAAAACCACAGAATTATTTAAACCATCTGGCATTACTTTCATATTGTTCGCATTTCTGCAGACGAGTATGATAGGAAGATTGGAATCAACCATTCATAAAAGATAGACACTACAATGGCTGAGATTGTTTAGCTTAGGAGAAAAGGGAGTAAGGATAGTCATAACAGAGAAGTAAAAAATTATGCATGGTGTGAAGAAAGTGAAGGGGGAAGGACATTTTCCCCCCTCCCATAATGCTAGACCCTGGGGTCATCCCGTGAAGCTGATTGGTAGGAGATTTGGAACAGAAGGAAGTACTTGTTCATGTTGCATAGTTAAACTGTGGAAATCACAGAACTGTAGTGAAAGCCACTGTTTGAACAACTTTGAAAGAGGATTGGACAAATGCAAGGAGATGGAAGAGGCTACCAAGGACTGCTAGTCCTGATGATGATGATGATTACATTGCATTTCTATCTTGCCTTTTTTCCTCTTGTGAAGAACCCAAGACAGCTTACATAGCCCCATTTTATCCTCCCCACAACAACCCTGTGAGGTAGCTTATACTGAGAGCGAGGGACTGGTTACTCAATAAGCTTCACGGCAGAGAAGAGCACAAATCTCCGAGGTTCCCAGTCCTGCACACTAACCACCACGCCACACTGGCTCTCACAGATTGCTCTATGCTACTTCTAGGACCAGAGGCAGTATGACAGTGTTCACCAGCTGCTATGGGACATGAGCAGGATGGACTGTTCTCATAGCTTTCTTGTGGGAACCTGTGAGCAGCTGGTTTGCTACCATGCTGGCGAAGATGGATCCTTGATCTGATCCAGCTCAGCTTTTGCATATGATTGATTGCCGGTCTTCTGTTTGGATTGAACTTCTTTGTAAGCCTAGAGGTTGGCCTACCTGCCAGGACCACCTCTGAGCACCCATACAGCAGCAGGAGTCCACAGACAAGATTCCCCTGGCATAGATCCTCTTCACTATCGCCACCTGTTTACCTTAGTCTGGCCCAGACTACAGTGGAGAAGCAGGAGGTGGTCGAAACAGTTTACAAATGGTCTCACACAAAGCAGCTGGTGCCAAATTAACACAGAGTGAGATCAAAAAAGCTCAGAGGGACTCTAGTCCAATCTCCTATGATGTAGGAAATCCATAAGAGCAGCATGCCACATAACTGCTCAGCCTCTGCTGGAAAACCTTCAATGAAGGAGTGTCCTGCATGTGTTTTGAGGCAGTTTGCTGCACTGCTGAAAGCTTGTGTCATCTGGAAGATCTTAAGACTTACTTGGACCCTTGTTCTTTTTATTTACTGTGTTTTAAAATACCTGAAGTTCACTGTACACTACATTAAAAGAATTTAGCACAAATGTTTAAAACAAGCAAAACAGTGCAAAAGAAAACCAAGCAAAACTGGCAACCATTTTAACATCCTAACATCAGATTAAAATCAGTAACACAACAGAGAACTCAGAGCATTAATACAGTTGTTAAAATGACTGGGAGACTAAGAAAATCTTCACCTGACACCAGAAATGTAGAAGGCAGGTAAACGTTACTGGGGATTCAAACTGAAATTCTTGAATTTTATTCTGGCACTACTCTTTAGAGAGTGTTTGGGCTACTTGAAGCCCCCAGTTGTTTAGGCTTGCTTCCCTTATCATTGTTGTGCTGACTAGAGCTATAATGGGAATGGTAGGCCAACAACAATTAAGGCAGAATATGTACACTTGAAGTAAATTCTTGAGTAGGACTTACTTCCAAGACCAAAAAACCAAAACCAAAAAACACCTTTGCCTACTTAGCTTTGTCACTTTGTCGGGATTTGTCAATTAACAAATGCAAGTTGACGGTACCATTTTTTAAGGTGAAACAAAGATAGCTTCTAGAAGATATGTCTTATTATTTATTATGAATGATTTCTTTCATTGCATTCATAGTCTGATCCTCCAGCCAAAGCTCTCAGAGTGGCTTGAGTGAAATTAATAGGGCAGTTCCTGCCCACAGGCTAACTATCTAAAAACATAACATAAAAGGGGAAAGGGTCAAGGAGGGAAAAGGAAAAGGGGAAACTCAGGCACAAATTACTCACACTTGTAGAAACATATGTAATTATATTCTCCCAACAGCAGCAGTCTGGATTTGACAATCACTCTTTGGCCTTTTAAAAGTTTTCTGTGGCCTCTGTATCCCCTGACTTTGTGTGTGCATATGTATGGGGGATTCTCCATGAGTCTAAAGTCCATAGTTCAAGGGTTCCAGTTTCTTAAAATATTCAGTATTGAGCTCTCATTGATCTATAATGAATCATGCATAAAGTAGCCTAACTGAAGTAAGAACTTAAGGCTATCAGAAGTCATGGCAAACCTTTCCCATTGATTCCAGTGAATATACTTCAATATATACTCTGGAATATACTCTTTTTATTCCATGTTAGCCAATACTTCTCCCAAATAATTCTGGGACTAAGAGTTGCAGGCCTCTCTGGATAGGTAGTTCCCAGGAATGGTTGAAAAAACAGCCCTATTCTTAACCCCTTAAATTCAGGGCTTCCGACACAGTGGCTGCTACCAGTCATAAACTAGCACAATTAAGTCTCTTGAGAGGCAGTGGGGAAAAGATCCAGCAATGCCCCTGAGGGCTCCCTCCAAAATAAGCAGGGGCACTCTGACTTCCCCCACCCCAGGCCCACTCCACCACATCCTTGCTGGGGGTCTTGGTAGACATATTACATCAGAAATGAGGATTCTGCTGTGGATGTATCACCTTTTATCAGGAGTCCAATGGCAATATAATACACCTGGAAAAATGACAAACATGTATACATATACACACCATGTAATAGTTTGTAATATTTTAACGAGTGATATACCTTCTGTCTCCATTCCTACACTAGTTTTGAAGCTTCTCTTTCACTCTAATCTTGTCATTTTAGAGATAGCATACTCAAACTTCGCCTCCTGTACTATAGCATGCATCCAGAAAGATCAGTTTTAATGGCAAATTAAAGCATAGCAGGATTTAAAGCCTCACTGAAAGCTATGCCTCTTCCATTTTCTTTTCATTTATTTATTTAATTAAACATTTATGTCCCAATGCACTGTAAAAGGGCTTTCCCTCCCGGATTAGTTTACAAATCAAACTTACTATTACATTTGTATCTCACCTTTTCACTGAAAACACAGACCAACAAACATTTGTTGTTCAGTTGTAAAGTCGTGCCCGACTACTAATAACAAACAAGATACAAAATTATAATTAAAATATCAATAAAATTTCATAAAGCAGGCTAGAGCTGCACATATTTATTTATTTGCTGTTGTAAGGGCTTGAAGCATGTATGTTACTGACAAACTACTGTTTTCACAAACAGTTGGGTTTAAAGTTGAAATCTGCTTTTGTCTGCTTGGTGCCCTTGAATTCCCTTCCAGTGAAACAGATGGAATTTAACTTTTCAAACTAGCCAAGAAAAGTTACGCCTCCTTCTACTGGACACCAAAACCAGATTTGAATACAAAAGTCTTGCTTGCACTCGATCTAGGAAAGACCTGCCAGAGGTCAACCCACCCACCCTAGGATATCTTGGTCCTCTGTATCATCCTGCCAAGGTGTAGGGTCGTGGTTGTTCTTTCCACACATCAGGTGACCTGAAGAGGTAGAATAAACAGGTCCACCCACCTTTATTTATTTAAAACGCTGGAAAGGCTCCCAGCGTAGCCTACCGATCAATAAATACCAACAGAGCCTCAGAGCGGGCAAATTTTCAAGATCAGCAGGCAAGTGGCTGTGCACAGGCCAACCAGGACAGCCGTCAAGGTTGTGACGAAATTTAGGAATGGCTGTGGCAGGAGCTTTACGGAGATGAAGACGCGGGAAGGCTCTCTGCACATGCTCAGAGAGCATTCGCTGGTAGCGCTCGTTTCTTCTCGTTGCCTTGCCGGTTAAAGCGCCTCTTTCCCCGGCTCTGCGGCTTCGCGCTTCCCCCTCGGAGGAGAGGGCAGGTTCCCTCGAAAGAGGAAGCCGCCGCCGCTGTCCGAGCCGGAGCGCTCTTTGCGCACGTGCCCGGAGGAAGCGCTTTTCCTTCCAGGGGCCGCCGCCGCCGCCGCCCGCTCTCGACTCTCTGCCGCAGAAGGCGGGGGGAAAGCGGGGGGGAGGAGGTCGAGGGAGACGAGGAAGAGGCGCGAGAGAGCGCTCCCCCCCCCGCGCGCCGCCGACCGAGGGACAGCACTGCAGAGGCAGCGCCGCTCCGCACTGGGAAGGAGGCGGGAACGAGCTGCAGCCGGACCGTGGCGCGGCGGCGGCGGCGGCGGCAGGAGGGGCTGCACCTTCCTCGTTGGCGCCTCCTGCAGCCGCCTCCGTAGCGCTCCCCCGGAGTCGTGCGCTCCCGGCGAAGCCGCCGCCTTCCTCCGCCTGCAATGGAGCCGGCGGGCGCAGCCGCTGGGCCGGCGGCCGTGGCGGGAGCGCCTCCGCTCTTCCTGAGCAGCGGCGAGCAGCAGTGCTACTCCGAGCTGTTCTCGCTGTGCTGCGGCGGCGTCCAAGGTGCACTCGAGGCGGGAACGGCGGGTCCCGTGCCCGCCGCTGGAGGGAGCAAAGTGGCGGAGTTGTTCCGGGCGTCGCAGCTTCCCGCCGAGACGTTTCATCAGGTAAATAGGCGAGCGACCTCCCCTCGCACCGCCCGGTTCGGCGGGCGGGAACGGGCGCGACAGTGTTTCTGGGCTCGTGCAGAATGCCTTCGTCGCAACGGCGGTTTGAGGGTTTCCAGGACCGAGCGGCAAACCTCCGGAAAGCGCTGCGCTTTGGCGCTTCTTAAAAAAGGAAGGAAGCGGCGGGGAGGGCTTGCCTAGTGGACTTGATGAACTGCAAAGAGCAATTCACCTTTGTGCTATTGAGTTGTTATCCCCCCTCCCACCATTCGCTCTCCCTCACACACTGCACATTTTTGCTGCTATAAAACAGGAATGTTTTTGTTTCCCCTACAAAATTGTGTATGACCCTCTCCTGTCTCCCCATCCTTACTAGCAAGTTCTATGCTGTGGGTAAAGGAGAGTGCAGAACTCTGTCCTCAAATGTGAGAACAGAGGCAGACCTTTTCAGTATACCGTTGTAGAAACATGTTTGGATGCTTTAAGTTAGCCCAAGTGGATGCAACCAGCTTGAAACCTCTCCGGGAACGATCCTATGTATATTTAGAAAGAAAGAAGACCTCAACATGCGCAAGCAACGGTAGGCTGGGGAATGCTGGGAGTTGTAGGACTTTTTTCTGTCCAAAGTTGCACAGGATTCTGCCCTTAGTTATTTTATTTTACATATTTTAAAAGGTTATATGCTGCATTTTCCACTGAGAGGCTGCAAACAGCAATACTTAAAATCATGTTAGAAATCCTGATTAATACTCAACAATGTTAATAGCACTGTGTAAGAATACCAGTGAACCTGAAGGGCTAAAACACATGCTGAAGACTTTAAAAAGGCCCCTGGTTCCTTATGCCCATGTTAATACGAGTCTGCTTTCTAGGGTTTGAGAGAAGTGATCTTTTTAAATCTACAGGACTATACAAGTGTGGTTCATATTACAACTCCTCTACTCCAAATTGTGTCAGTTAGACAAGTTTATCTGTTACTGCAGGTATCCATTCATGGACTTTTCATTCTTGAATGCTGTTCATTAGGTAAGTGCACCAGGCCTCACTGCTGGTGTGTTGTAGGCATTTATTGAAAATGTATCTGTTTGGTTTGGTTTTCTCCCAGCTGTGAACTCTCTTTGTACCAAGGCCATGATACTAGTATGGGTGGTCCTCTTTGTTTTGTTTTTGTTAGTTTTTTATTCTTTGTAAACTGCTGTGAGATTGTTTCAAACAGAAGGTGTATATAAATATTTTAAGTAGCTATATAAATAAAGGTATTTCTAAAGTGCCAGAACTGCTATTTTTCACACTGGGAGCAGAATTTGTAGATTGTTATGGAAGGGGCCTTAGTTTTGTGCTGTCTCATCATCTAACTTCCTTTATTTCCTCTGAAGTCTAAAAAGGAAGATGAAAACAAATGAAAACTATAGAAACAGTTGCAGCTGCACAGGCACACAGTGTTTGTTATTGTTTGCTGTATACCTCCTCCACGACCAGCTGCAGAAATACTGTAGTTGTCTTTCTGTAATAGACATTATTTCTGTATCTTTTTTTTTTTTTTGGCAAGCAAGTATATACCTCAATCCCAAAAGTTGGCTCATGAACCTAGTATCATGACTTGAATTGTTCTTCTAAAAATATTGCACTAATAATAGTTAGTTTCACCTTTGGGGAGTTTAATATTTTAATCACTGCTGGAATATATTAACAGTGTATGGGCTGAAATTTGTAGTATCAGCCAATGTTTTGGGATGAATTCAACTCTGAGACCCTTTGGGATATGAGAAAAACATTATTCATGCATACCATTCTGGTTACAAGGTAGAGTTTTTACATTTGGTTTGAGTTCTTTGCCTTGATCCAGAGAGCTTTGGATACAGAGGCAAAAGGCCTACCTGGTGCTTTTCCACTCTTAGACCTGCTTGCCCCAAAATGACAGGAGCTGTCAGAGAAGGGAACGGAATGTGCCCAGGCAGCATCTGATCACCCCGTTCCCAATGGTCACCATCCCACAGAACTTAGAGGAAGCGTAGACATGTGCAAATGCCTCTGACAGAGGGGGCTCTCAGGTAAACATGGGCAATCTCTCTTGATTTCAGTGGGATTTGTGTATGATCAAGGAAGTTCAGGAGTGCAGCTAAAAAGTACATCGTCCTAAAAGCCAGTTCTGGAGACTTTTCTCCTGCTGCTCCCTCTCCCAACAGCTGGCGTGTAACAAGCCAGCATTCAATGTGGATCCAATCACAATCGTCTGTTCCCTGTCCTCTTTTCTCTTTGGAGTTAGGACAAAGAAATTTTGATTGCTGATGAAGGCAGGTAAATGTTGAGATTTCTGAGCTATACTTCTGAATCAGATGTATGTAGTGGACAACTGTAGCAGTTAAAGCTCTTTTGCAAAACTGCATCAGCAGCTGATAGAGCATTTTCATGTTTTTAAATTAATGTTTGTGCAAGAAACTATATCAGAATAATATACAACATAGTATCTAATAATAGATGAAGCTGTAGAGGAAAACAGAATATGTAGTTTAGTTATATGAATTTAAGAAATACCTTTCAAAGTCCTTGTTGTACCTCAGGGAGCACTATTCTAAAATATAGAATAGTGGTCAGACTAGTCAAGTCTTGAAGGTGCAATGAATTGTATGCTGGTTTCCTAGAAATTGTCTGGAGTGAATTGCTTGCTAATGCTTCCAATATGGGTATTTGTCATACTTCTGGGTTGTTCTGTTTTTGGGAAGCCTTCTATATAGAATGTTAGCTATAGCACATTCTATCAAGCACTGTACATCAGCATAGTTCTAATAAATATGTGGACTTCATCCCATGCTTGGAAATATATTTTTCATTTAGTTGGGAATCTCTTTCCGTGCTTATGATGTAAAGAAAGGTGTACTTGTGAACAGTGCTTGCACTGTTTCATTACAGAAGCTAACTACAGAATTTGTTTTGTGCCTGATCCTCATAACATCTACATTAGTTTGTGGCATTTGCAACATGCACAGTGCTTTTCATAATTTCTATAGAAGTTTTATTTTTAAGCAAGGAATTACTTATGACAAATTGAGCCATGTATAAAAGAGATAGCAGATCGCATGATGTGAAGAACTCTTGTGTAATTCTTTTCTGTCCCTTTATGTTATAATGATCCTTCGTTCGTAGTGCACATTGAAGCAGGTCACACATGGGGTGTACCAACTGCTGGAGTTGAATAAGCCCTGGTTTGCTGTTATTTCAATCTTGGTCTTAAGATTTCACCTGGTTAGAGAGGCCCTGAAGGTGTAAAAGTTCAGACAGTCAGAACATCAAAACACTGGTACTGCTGGGAAACCTTAGGGCAGTGGATCAAAGCATAGCAGAATACCATCTTGGCTTTTCTCAGCAGTATATCATACTTTAGATGTCTTTTACAAGTATATTGAATAAGGATTTAGACGTGTTTCAATATGATTTTTTTCTGTGAGGCACATTACACCCTTGTAATTTATGTTCTTTTTCAGTCATTCTTTAAACTCTCTCAAAATGAAGTAATACATTGCTAATATATAGGAGGATAGTGGAATCAAAATTTTAAAAGAAATTTTTTCATGGGCAGCTCTATATTGTTACTATTTTGACATTCCCTTTTGTCTTTTTCCCTTAAGGAAAACTTAATTCATGTTTGCTTTTGTCCCAATAAAATATTTTCAATGTTCAATTGAAATGTGAGATGGCAGCTTTGTGTTCATTTTTATTTATTTATTAAAACATTTCTATGCCGCCCCTTGCCGAAGCCTCGGGGCGGCTCACAACACAAAATAAAATACAATAAAATACAAAAATAGCAATATAAAATAAACAATATAAAATAAATAACAATATAAAAGAAGTCACCCTGGCCAGGTAAATAAGCAAATATTGTTAACAATTAAAATGATGCTTAAATAAAAAGGTCTTTGCCTGGCGCCGAAAAACAAATAACGACGGTGCCAGGCGGACCTCTCTGGGGAGCGCATTCCATAGATTGGGCGCCACCGCAGAGAAAGCCCTCCTCCGAGTACTCACCCTCCTAATTTCTTTCATGGAGGGTTCCCAGAGAAGGGCCTCTCCTGCAGATCTCAAGGGGCGGCCGGGCATATATGGATGTAAGCGCTCCTTCAGGTAACCCCAGGACCCAAGCCGTTGAGGACGTTATAGGTCATCACCAACAATATGCTAGACATGTGGGGTGACAGCTTTGTATGGGCACTCACTTCTGCTAATGGAATGAAACACCAATTTTAGGACAAGTCTGCCAGTTAATATTAAATAGTGTGTTTATTTTGAAATAAATATACCAGTTGACATTTTCACTGTTAAAATATTTCCTCATTAGTATCCAAACCTTAATCAAATCTTGAGGTGTTTGCAAATGGTATGTTTAAATGGGCTGTGTCAATTCTGTGATATAAGAGTTCTTTGGGAAGCTGAAGTAAAACATAATTTCATCCCTTTATTATTCTGGCTGATGGTCTCATAATGGTTTTATATCATGGACTGATTATGACAACCTTAAAATGCATAACTACTATAATAGAGATTACCCATGCTTAATACACCTGTCTGCATTAGCATCTTCCTGTCATTTCCTTCACCATCCTGTCTCTGGTTTTCAGTGAAATGGACAAGACTGGAAAAAGTTTTGTTAATCTTATGGCAGTCCAACTAGAAAAATCAAAGTGTTACTGTGGGCACCTTTACTGCTGTATGAAAAGGTGTGGAAAAAGAGAAAGCCAAGGAAATGGACAATTCTCTTCCTCCATATCATGTCAGTTTCACTGCAAACCAGTTCTATGAGGGGAAAGTGAAGGAAATGGTGGTACTGGAGATATTTGCATTCATTGAAATGAAAAAGAATTTTGACTCTGCTAATGTATGAAGTGATACTTTTCAACAGGAAGGACAAACATGAAAAAGCCATTCCCAAATGTGTATAATCTATGGAAAGAAACAGTGGTTGAAGGGCTCAGAATGTGCTTCATATGTTCACAGGTGAAACA